TTTTTTTTTTTTTTTTTTTTTTTTTTTTTTTTTTTTTTTCTTGAAAAAATAAATAAATATATATATGAATTAAATTATGAAAATATTTTTTCTCTTTTTAATAAATTATTATTTACCCTTCATATTAACTTTTAATTTCATTAAATTTCATCTAAATTTAAATAATTAATATAATATCAACCTTCAATTTACAAATATTACAATTTATCCTTAAATAAAATAATAATAATAATACGAGAGCTAAATTTTATTAAATGACTTAAATTTATATAAAATTTAATTAATTGCAATTTGTGAATTTATGATTTTTTTATTTATTGAAATTAGTAATTGAATTAGAAAAAATAAAATAAATGGTAATTTTTAACTAATTAGAATGAAATTTGATACAAATAAAAGTGAACTTTATAATTTATAATTTTTTAAATTTTATTTTCCCTCTGCACATGGCCTATGGGTTTATTTTATTTTATTTATCCCACTTGCAAATTTTAATATTTAATTTTAGTGTAGTAAAAGAAAATATTATTGAATTATAATATTTGGATAAATTATGGATTTCAATTATGACTTATGAGTAACTGGTCCATGCTTTGAGTTTTCTTTATATTTAATTTTTATAAAACGAGTCTCATCAATATTTAAAAAAAAAAAAAACCATTTTTTTTTTAAATTAACAACAATTTCAAATTTCCTATTATTAATACATTCACATAATTAAATTTCATGAATAATATTTTTTTAAACAAAATTAGCATATGAAAGTTATTTAGATTTATATATATATATATATATTATGAATAAGCATGTGTCACGATATATGAGTTTGGTATAATGTTAGATTGATATTATTATTATTATAAGTAAGTATTTGTCATTGAATGATGTGACGTTGATATTATTATTGAAAATAATTTGACGTTGAAATCTAGTTTGATTATTAATTTCAATAACTAAAATAGATAAAATGGAGTAAACTAACGTGTAGAAAACTAAAAACGGTGATTGATTAAAAATGATTACATTAGTTTGGTCATGCTTTAGACTAAAAAACTGAGTCAACACAGTTAGTTGACTTAATGATATAAGAGTCCAATAAAGTTTAACGCGGGAGTATCTTTGCTTATTGGGTCCTCTTTGATTAAATAATCAAACACGCCAAAGTTGAAAGATTCAAAGTCAATATTGTTATTGAATATCATTTAAATTTATGGCTTAATTTTGGTGAACTTAGAATTTAAAGATTAAAACAAAATAACTTTCGTTTTCGATAGAGATGTCAATTGAGGAAGGTGGAGCTGACATTATTGTCTGGTTGTCGGATTGTAACAACAATTTCAACTAAACTATAGGTTTAAATGTATAATTTTCAAAATATTTTTTTAACAAATTCAAAAGATAATAATTTAAATAATTTTCAATAATTTAACTTAATAATTTCTAGTGGTTGCCTTTATTTTGTTAGATTCTACCTCCGAATTAAAAGAATAAAAATACACATGAATTCTTGGTAATATATATTTTTTAATTTCAAAAGTTATAATAGTAAATTAATATATATATATTTAAATACACTCAAAATTTTATTTAAAAAAAATACTTAGATTCTTTAAAATATTTCTTTAAATTTTTAAAAGGATTTAAAAAATACTCTTAAATTATATATTAAAAAAAATCTGGTTAATACTCTTAAAACTCTTTTTAAAACTTCAAAATATCTTTAATTTTTCCTAAAAAACATTAGATACTATTCTCAAAAATAACCTTTAAAGGGTTACAAATAGACATTATGATTTTTTTTGAATTTTTTTTTTATAAAAATAAAAAATGTTAATGATATTTTAGAAGTGGATCAATATTTTTTAAAAAAGAACAAGACTGATATTAATGAAATTTAATAATAACTTATATATTTTAAACAATTACCGTTTTAAAAAATGGAAATCTTTACCAATTCAATAATATATTCCATCTTCATTAAACTTACCTTTTCAATATCAAAATTATTTTAGAAATTATTTTAATTTTGTCTCCATATTTTTAAATTAAAATATTTTTTATATTAAGAGGCTCGAATCTTTGGCATATAATACATGCCTTTAATTAGTTAAATTAATAATTAAATTATTTTTAGTTATATATATTATTAATATGAATATTAATAGATTATTTTTTTACATATTTTATACGCATATAAAATATATTGAATATAACAACCCACCTAATTAATTTGTCAAATAAGTCAAACAATTAAATTAAATTAAATGGTCCTTAAAAAAAAAAAGCAAAAGGTCTCTTAAAATAATTATATGACCACCTACCCACCGGCCTTTGTTTACGTCGGACTATCATAGTGGAAATTATTTAAATGCCCCGCTTTATTTATATTTATTTATTTATTTATTTTTAAGAGAATAAAAAAAATGTGTTCAAAATAATAATGTGATCAACCACCCAGCCGCCTTTGTTGGCTTATTTTAAATATGTATTACTTTCATAACAGATACTGAAGGCCTATTTTTGGTATATAATTAAAATACGTTTTTGGTTGTCACTATGGAAATTTTAGTGCAATAGACTTTGACATTTCTCACATGTTCGTATGGGCACTGATATCTCGATTACTGTATTAAAGTTTTAGAAGTGAGTGTGAGATGTAGATCACACCCGAAATCGAAATTGACATAAAATAACAAGTTCCACTGAATCTTATTGTTTTCTCTTGTTTCGAACTCTAGTTTTGACTGTGGTGGCGACAAGGTGACAACTGATGTCAACAGTTTAGTGCATGTGATAGCAACACATTGGATGATGGAGGCGAGTGATGTTGCAGGCATGTAGTGATATGGTAGTGTGTGGGGCATGTGGTGTCACGACCATACTAAGAAGAGAGTAGTTGTAACTCCTGCGTGCAAACAAAACAAGGCGGTGACACAGAAGTGACGCCCAATTGACCACATGAGGGTTGAGGCAACACAAGTGTCATGATGTGACTAGAGATTGTCCATGGGGACGTGGAGGTATTTTCCATCCCAATCCTGCCACCTATTTCATTCTCATCCCTGCAAAATTTTTCATTTATTTTTGTGGGGATAGAGTTCCTTGCAAGTAATGTTTATTAAAAAATGGAGAAAAAGTGTTCCCCAATCCTCCCCATTTCCTGTCGGGGAATCCCCTCCCGGGTAAAATATTTAATACGAAACACCCATTTAGAGCCCACGATGTTTGTGTTGGCAAGGTGAGGAACCAAAGTTCAAGTATCATTTTGTTGTAACGCTCGAATTTCTTCATCCATGGCAGCAACCCAAGTAGGATTCTTAGCAGTAGATTTGAATCCTTTTGGCTCAGTGGATGCAAGAAGAGCATAAAGAAGTCCATATGAGCCCAAAATACCAAGATTTGCTGGATGACGAGTCTTGAATATACCAGCTTTGGCTCGTGTGATCATAGGATGAGTGCCCAAAGAAGAGGAATCAACAGTAGGTTCAATAGAGGTCGAATTAGAAGTCGAGGGTGGCAAAGTGGAACCTGCAAGAGAAGTATCAACCTGCACAGACTCATCCACAAGGTCAGAACAAATATCACACGGGGATGAACTAGATCGAGGAATGTGTGATGATGAAGTGGTAAGGGGATAAATCAATATGATAAAAATGTGGTTCCAAGAAATTTGAAATAGGAATAGAGGAAAGAGGTTGGGCCCGGGACTAGGGATAACAAGAAAGTGAGTTTCATCAAATTGAGCATAACAGGTGATATATAGTTTAGTGGTGATGGGATCAAGACAGCAGAACCCTTTATGAGTAGGATTATAACCCAAAAAAATACAAGGAATGTTGCGGGGAGAAAACTTGTTAGGCATATAATCACGCAAATAAGGATAAACATAACAACCAAAGGGATGAAAATTGTCTTAATATGGAGTGTAGCCATAAAAGAGTTCAAAGGGTGACTTACCTCCAAGAAGTGGAGTAGGCAACCGGTTGATAATATAAGCTGCAGTGCTGAAGGCGTCAACCCAAAAACGTGGAGAAAGATGAGGGTGAAAGAGAAGGGCCAAGCCAATCTCAGTCACGTGACGATGTTTTCTCTCAACACGACCATTTTGAGCAGGTGTATATGGACAAGAGAG